ATATATACATATGTATTATATATACACATATAATATATTAGTTGGGTAGGCGTTTCTAATAATTAGGTTGGATTTGTATAATCCGGAAAGTGTGGGTGAGTGGTTGGTGAGTGCTTCAGTGTGTTATGCTCCATCTTTTCTGTCCAACATCTATCGTTCTCATCTCTTCTCCTTTTCTTTGTATGTTACTATCTAATAGTAACCTCTCTTAACCTCGACACTTATTGTGTTGCAGGTACCGTAAAACTTTTACAAAAACTTTTTTGAGCCCCCAAAAATAAGGTTGGGCTCATGGATGGCATTGGCCAAAGACGCTCTTTCTCAAGCCATTCTAAAGTTTGTAGAGGCAGTTCACCTCTTCTCAAATATACGCAGTATATTCCCTTACTTATAGTTTATCCGTAAATGCCGTAAAATACTTACGGAAAAAAAAGAAAAAAAAGTTTATCCAACGTCTGTCTTTTTTACATCGCTCACCCCAATTAGGTGTGTGTGTGTGGATTTTTTTACATTTAAACTAGCCAGCCACTAAAAGTAAAAGCCTTCATAATTCTATGGCTCCATCGTTTTCCCTTTCATAAAAAAAAGAATTGATTAAAATTAAATTCATTTTAAATGCTTGAAAGCTGATTTAAAAATATGGCGGTTAATATGATATAAGATGACCACTGTGGGGAAAAAACAACAAGGATTTGGAAATGCGGCGACTTCTCAATCATGTACATCATCTTCGCTTCCATCGGAATGACGTCATCAGTACTTGTTGTCGATGACAAAGGCTGGGTTGTCTGCCCCTCTGGCCGACATGGCGTATCCGGATCCGTAGGCCGTGCCGTCAGGAACAAGGTATCGATCCTGGCCGTCGTTTGGCACCCATTCTTTGGTCGGGCTGAACATGTACTGAAGTCTCTGGAAAACACAGCGAAACCAGTGAGGAGAGATGAGTGATACGACCTTATAAGTTATAGTATCAATTAGTCGCTTTTAACATTTCGCCATCACAAGGCTCTTATGGTGCAAACCCTTGCCATCAAAGGCAAAGGCATTAGGAGGCATTTGGGGGGAAATCCAAAGAAACTGAGTGGTACACATTGTTGATCGGCGAGATGTGACGGCAAAGTGTTAAGAACAAGTAGTAGAAAAACAAATGAAGAAGTCTTGGTTGAAGCAAATTATAGAAGACAACTTATCACGAATATAAGAAAGCGACAGGCAAATTTCTTCGGACACACAATGCGGAAAGAAGCGTTAGAGAATATTGTAACAACAGGCAA